GTATGTGTGTATGTGTGTATGTGTGTATGTGTGTATGTGTGTATGTGCGTCTTTTTACATTGGTTCATGCGACTGCAAATTGAATATAATCTGTTTTATCTCTGGGTTTTCAATTTGCTTCGTACACATTATGAATCACTGGTATACCCTCGAATAGACACACATTTGATTGACATTTCATTGTTTCTGAGACCACCGTGGTTCGGCCGATGCATTTTCGCTGCTGAACGATTCTGCCGAATAAAATCGTCACAAGTCCAGTAAAAAAAACATTGACGCCATTGCAAAAACCGATCAGAAATCATTGACTGTCAGCGTGCAGTTCAATGCAGTTAATGCATTTACTGCACCTCAAAAATGCACCACATTTTATCTCAGCGATTGTCCAGAGCAGTGTTAATTGTGTTGACAGTGGGCGGTATTTTGTGATGCATCGATGCATTTCACCTTCCAAAAATGATGAGCTTATATTCATTAATTCATGTTGTGAATTAAAACTAATCTCTCAAATGGATATTTGGAGATTTCGCATGATTTGCTTAAGTCGTTTATTATCGTTACTGCTTGCAAGTGATTGTCAGGTGAGGGTTAGAACAGCTATTCGGAGTTGTAGCAACATGTCTTGAAATAAATGAAGCATTTATTCAATGTTGCACATCTTTGAACCGAAATAGAATCTTAGAAAATGCATTTCAGAATTTGCCGCCAATTCAAAATATTTTCGCGTTTAATTTTTTCGATGTCAGAAATGCTATTAGCAAAAACCCGACTATTTTAGCATGCAAGGTATTGCAATAATACATACTCAACACACCATTTCAAATGGAACGAAGCGATAAAAAGTATTGAGCTCCGATGGTTTTCCGAAATACCAAAATGTGACGACTGAAGATAAACGAACCTGATTGACACTGCCAACTGGTAATTCTAATGGGCATATATTAATAATGCACATCGTCATTGGAAAATGCGAGAGAGGGTTCATTGCGGAATCATCGTGTGACAATTCTCTCAACAATTTATATTCACATCTATTTATTATCCCTGTTCATGTGTATTTCATTATCAGTTGCATTTCGATATGTTTTGTGACTGGAACGGCTGACTTGTGTGTGATTGACTACATGAGTTACATCGAAAATACATTAGAACACATCACAGGTATCAGTAGCGCATCATTTGGAGCAGCGATCTAATGAATGATACCTTAAATTATTGTTAGCGTGTTCACTTTTGCCATTTCGGATTAAATTCCGACATTTTTATCCGTCGCGTTGAAATACACTGAAGCGAATTGAGCCAATTAAATTCTAGCTGTCAGGTAATTTAAAAAAAAAGGTGGAAAGACACAGTGGTATACTATTGTCAACACTAGTTTTTAGCTGTCCTTTACAGTTTCTATTTGGATTCATTTGGCCACGCTTGGATTTCAATAGGTTTTTTTTCACACATTTTCTTTCCTCCGAATGACAATATGGCAAAATCGGAAATCAAAAACGAAAATAGAATCACTAATAATACTTTTTACGATGAAATGCTTTCTTTTCCGCGTGTCAATTAAACACCGAACAAACATTTATATGGCAAATAAAATGCCTGTGAGTTTTGACACGTACCGTTGGAAAAAATACCAACGTTTATTCAATGAAAATTGTAGATTTGACGTTATAGAACTCTATCTTGAACCACACATTTTTTCACACACAGTATACCACATTCAATTGTTAATAATTTATTTAAAATGTATTTTCGGCGGAAAATTGTTTAAAATGTTAATTAAATTAATTTGCTT